AAATTGAAAGAGTTGCTACGATGTCCAGTATAGCTAAAATGTGAGGAAGTTCCATTCAATAAATATGAATTACTACAGTACGAAAATTTGATACTGTAAGATGGATGTTTCAAACAAATTATCCTTGAATCATAAAGTTTGAACTAAGTGCTTATAATTCACCCTGACTCTGCTGTTAAATGACATTCCTGTCTGGCTGCATTGTAGACAAACGCTCTACAAGGAAATCGTTCTGTTCCAATTAAGTTCACCTGCAAGTGAGCTTTTGAGTTTAATATTCTTTGGACTCTTGCCAATCATTAAATTTATTAATTTAACAAAAATTCAGTAAGTTTGTGAATGTACCTGACATACGCTTCTGCACTCTTCCATACTCATACTTTCTATGATTACGTCTTTCTCATGACTGATGCGATACTCTTCAGTTCTAACCCAATGTAGCTGACCAGCGAAACATTGAACTGAAAAGGTGTTGGAAGTTTAAGGAATGATTTATAAAGGGAGAGGAATACAAAAATAAGATTGAAAGTAGAGAAATAAAGCGTTAGTTGGGAACTGAGTTAGGAATTACACAGCAAAATCATTGAGAATGTCGAGTTCAGAAGAAAGAGCATTATCTTCTTTTTTTTTGCTTTTATTTTCTTAATGATCAAAAAAAATTAATAGAATACCTGCACTAGGATTTTTTCAAATTTTATTTTTTTTCTAATTTACTATAAGCTGTAATCTAACGTATTACAATTTAATAATTATAGTTTTGAAGGTGAAATTATTATATAACATCGTTCTCACCATCAAAAGCAAATCCTTATTAAACCCTCTATTATTATTATAACCAAAATATAGAATAAAGATGTGGAGGTAACCCAAAATTTGAACAATGAACTGAAAAGATGTTGAAAGCTTAAGGAATAAATTATAAAGGTAAATGAATTTGGCATGAATCTGAAGATAATATCGATACACATATATCCCGCGTTTTTCAATGTAGCACGAAATTTTAGGGAATTTACTCCTATTGTGCTGGCTAGCACCTTTATCGAGCACAAAAATTTCCTGTTTTCTGTCTGTTGGCCCTCATACCCACCATCCAAGCAATTGTTTTCAAAGTAATCCACCAATTGATCTTCTATGCCTTCCATGAACAAATCTGGTTTGTCCGTTCGCCTTTCGCGGTTAATAATACATTCGCCAGTTTCATAGAAGTACATCAATGAACGACATTGAGTATCCAACGTTGAAGTAGCCGTTAAGCATCGTGACAGACATTCGGATAATCCGGACACAGCAATTACCTGGAAAGAAGAGACTAGCCACTAAGGTTCTGAGATTAAATCGCCGATCTTTAAAAGCAACAATTAGATTTCAGATTTACTAATGGTGGCAATAAATCGAAGGAAGATTTAGGCAAGGTAACCAGGCTTACCCTACCGTAATCTTAGAACATTCTCGAATTTAAAGTACAACATTAAAATATTGTAACCAGTTTATGAATACCTTCATGGCATGTCCGATTAGAAGGCTTTGTGGGTAGCGCTCGAAGGCATACGGTGCCGGACATAACGATTGAGCTGAAAAAAAAAGAAAACAAATGGATCAAAACTGTTTCAAAATCAATACTGAGGGGTAAACCATAGTAAGGGAAAATTGGT